CGCCAGCCCTGGGACGGGATGGAAAAGGCGGAGGGGTGACCAGTCCATGACGTGGCGTCGTGGGATGAAGGATTTTTGTTCTAGATTAGCATCGGTTGGTATGTCACGACTCCCTGGTTGGGGTCCGCGAGATAGCTCGTACTGATAGCTCGAAACGTTATCGGATATGGCCAAGAATCGTAATCAATGGCTAACGTGTTGCAATTTCCTTCTTTCTTCCCTTCCTGATGATAGTTAACTAGAACTGTTTAAACTTGTTAAGCATGACTGTCTTCCTTCCAGATGAAGTTCTTTATCCATTCTCTACTTATATTTTTACTTTGAATCTGTGTTGTTTTATTATTATTGTGTGGCGCATCTTTCTTGTTGCCATATTGTACCAAGTTTTTTCTGCGTTTGAATAAATAAGTTTGAGCAGTTGGCTCTGATATTGGGTTAATCTTATTCGTATCTTTGGAATTTACTCTACCTAGTTGTCGTGGTAATTTCCGAATAATATTCTCCATGGAATTCGTCTTCGTTTTTACCTAATCGTACGCGTTTTAGTTCCGCATTAACTAGTTTTATTTATTTAAACGCATATAAACTTGGTACAATATGGCAACAAGAAAGATGCGCCACACAATAATAATAAAACAACACAGATTCAAAGTAAAAATATAGGTAGAGAATGGATAAAGAACTTTATCTGGAAGGAAAACAGTCATGCTTAACAAGTTCAAACAGCTTTCGTTAACTGTCATCAGGAAGGGAAGAAAGAAGGGAATTGCAACACGTGTAATAGCACGCGATTAGTTTCATTGATTGTTTGTTGCTTTATTTCATTCATTGTGTCAGGGCTGAGATACTACCCAGGCGCCCAGACCGAAGCAGGTGGTTTTATTAAGGAACCACCCCCGAGCCTTTGACTTGGAGTCTAATCCGCAAGGCAGCGGAGCAGCGTCGGGAGCTGCATCCCCATGGTTTCCGGTGACCCATATGGGTTCATACGCCATTTGATCCGATTGGATACTGGAGCCCATGTACCCCATGGTAACTGCTTTTAGTTTAACCGCTATCCAAACAACCTTCCTGACATGGTAGGACAGGGACAAAGTTCCAGTCAGTTTAGCATGTTGGGTCATTGCGGTATTCAAGCCCGACCACCACGACAAGGTAGCAGTTATCGGCCGGAGCATTAACTAGAACTATTCGGCACTTAGAATAAATGTAAGGCAAGGAGCCTAAACTATTTTGAGCTGATTCTTTTGGTTGTGTTGTATACTTTAAGCTGGATGATTTAATTGAGTGGCTTTCATTATCTTTCCAGACGACATATTTTCATTTTTTTGGTTCACACTGAAAATGTTTAGACGGAAAGTGAATGCTTTGTAAATAAACCACTTATTTTCGAAGAAAACACTAAAAAGCCGAAACCATCCATATGAGCTAATATACTCCATCATTCCAGCAGCATGTCCTAACCAACATGACATCGTTGAGACACATATCATTTGCGTCTTCAATGATTAGTAGCACTAAATCAAGGTAAATTTAAGTAGTCACTAAAGAGTGAGCGATGAAACATAAGCATACATTATCCATATCTTATGCTTCCACCTAGAGTAAATTCAAATCCGGTAGACTGCTGCTCCTTAAACATATAGTCTTTTAGCAGCTCGGTATTTCCTTCTTTGTATCTCGGGATGAAGAATTGCATTGATGCAACCTCCCCCAACAAATAAAATCGTAAAAGATTTACTCCCTACCCTGCAACCAGATTACAGCTCAGACTAGTCCTGTAACATTGTCTTACATTTAAGGTGGGAATACATTCTGAGCATATTATTTTTGTTCAGAGCGTTCAGGAAACTGTATTTCATCAATATTTTTGTCTAAATGGACTGTATCTTTTACGTACGAATGTAAAACAGCTCCTTTCTCGAGGATGTTTAATTCAAACCGTGCTACTATCTGTTCTACGTTGATATTACAGTAGGTCAAATTTAAAAACAGTCACCACCAAACTTCAACAAGTTGGATTCCATCCCTTAAATAATGGAATCTACAGTAAAGCATTCTTTCGTGAATCTCAGCAAATAAGTGAAATTCGTGAGTATATAATACTTTTCTTCCTGAAATAACTTGCGCTTGATAATAAAATTCAAGGGTCACTACTTGAATTGCTATTCTTATTTCACAGCAGTAAGAGGATGATGTTTTACAAACTTTATTTGATATTTTATACTGATTGACGCACAAATTTTTGTTTGCACTGCTATCGCGTTCGATTACTTATTAGTTGTCCTTTGAAGACTTTTCAAGTGTTTTACTTAATTTCATTAATTTCAACTCTCAGTAATACTCAACACCATTGTCTGAGTAGATATTTACTGTACACGTGTTTGTTTACATTTATGTTAACTTCATCGGTATATTTCATTTTTGTTAATGTCTTACATTTTTCAGATGTTCTCTTCCATAATATGTTTATTACTATGTCTGTGGAACATCCATGGTTAGATTTAGGCTTAAAATATATACTTCTCGAAAATGTGACATGTAGAAGTCTATTGTTGTCAGTTGTTTCATTTTTTGGAGTAGGTGCGTCGCGCTTGGTGTTGAACTTTAAACATAGTGAAGTCTCGGTCACATGATATTATAGGTTAGATGATGATAAATCCTTTCCAGAAGTGTTAATTTATCCATCTTTCTTATGCATCACATTGAATTATTTCCGATTGTACATTACCTGATATTTGTAAGACATTTTCTTTAGCCACTTTGGTCCTATCTGACTGTTTCGAGTTTGTATCTTAGTGTATCTACTGTTCATGTGATAACAAGTTTTTTATAACTTCAGTACCTTTCTAAATAAGTAGAAATATTCCTACATATATACTTTACATTACACATTAGCATTTTTAAGCTGCCACACCACTATTCAATTTTCCAGTCGTTTTGTTTTCGTCAGTTGTCTTGCACAGAATAAAGTAGCCATTTGCAAAGTACACAATTCGCTGTTATCTAGACGGTTGACTTCAAGGGTTTTTTAGTATACGCTTTAATAGAAACTTCAAATATAATATTATATCAGTTTCAAATATGTGGTTGATTTCAATATTTTCCTTGACTACTTCCTAATGTTTACAGTCGTTCTCACTATGAACAATTAAAGCACATAAGCTCATAGCAACGTCCAAATTGTATGTGTTGAAACAAAACAGTTCTGGAGTGAACTGAAGGGTATATACAAACAAAGCAGGATTTTAGACCTGACAAAGGGGCTAAATGTATGCTATTCAGTTTGATTTTGACCTATGTAGCGAGCATAAACGCCTCTGAGGCGTAACTCGTTTCTTGTCAATACATAACAAAAGACTTTACTTTTGTTCATCTTTCATATGAGAAATACATAATTAGTTACTGTTTCAGATAATTGTAACGATAATGGTTATCTACTCTGGTTATGTGTACAATGAGGTTTAAGTTGTGCTTTAGCACGTCATCTGTTGTGTTACCTTAGACGTGTCCCTGCAAAAATACATTTTATGGTATTTTAAGCTTATATTTTGACAATTATGACAGGCTAGTAATTTTATTTTTGCATTATCTGGTTTCTATACACATGCCTGAAGTGAAGATTAAATAGAATACCCTTACTTTGTTTGATACTCAATTCAGTTATAGACCTCTCTATGGGAGCCTATCAAACTAGAAGTAATACCCGCGCCTGGTAGAACTCATTTTGGGCTTCCATTCCAAATGAGGTACTGCAACCATTGCTTTAATTAGTGTATTGAATACCATTCACATATTCATTATAATGACACTATTTGCCACTCTCAGGTATTTCAGGATTGTTTCACTTTTTTACAGTAGTCCACTTCGTTAGTCTACTATCGACACTGAAGCGTTTCATGAATGGGCTGTCGTATAACAAATCCTAGCATACTAGGTTTATCTGCCCAGGGGATTATCGATAGTCAAAATGAAGTAAGATACACAGCTCAAGTACAGTTTTTAGCTGAAGTGAATCCTTCCGATTCACCACTGAAAGCTAACAGTGTTCCTATGAGTAACTAAACCAGTGCCCATTACAAGGCTGTTTATTAATAGCGTAATATTAGAAATCGTTGATTTACCCGATTTATTTTAAAATCCTGATTTTGCCTAATCTTAAAGCCAGCTATATCAGGCTTAAACATGCTTAAGCTAGTCTGGACAAATTAAACCATCTGAGCGAAGCAGAACATTCATCTTAATGCAATTGGACAACCTTGAAGCCCGAATTCATGCAACCAATTAAACTAGTTATTTACCGGCGTAACTTTCCGAGGTTGGTAATGTTTTTATATAATGTATTTCTGTATGATAAAGTCGATTGTTCTCACCGGCTCGGACTAGTTTGTCTTCTTTCTGTCTTTGCGTGGGCCCTGGGAATCAAGAATGGTCGGTGTTCAGACGAGTTACTTGTCTTCTTTCCGTATTCAAACGTAGTCGCAGTTGTTTAAATATCAAGCAAAATGAGAAATCTAACAAGATTTAGGACAAACAGTTGTTTGAGTGAAACAATCCATACTTCATTTTACTCTCTTTATGTATATAAAACAGCAAATTGTATGTTTTGATCGGAAAGTTGAGGAAATTGAGGTACTAAGTGAAAATTTGTTATTTGAAAACTGTCATTTGATTTTGATGTAGCATAAGTTTATTTATTCTGTTTTTGTGAGAGAATTACCTGTGACGTAAATTAAAAACACAAGTCAATGAAAAGTACTCTTTATTGACCTGTTTCTAAGTTTGAGTTCACATTCTCTATCTCTTTTTACGCGTCACCACTTACTTACATTTCTGATATTACAAGGTGTAATAAGGTGAATGATCATAAATACAGTTTTCGAATTTTTTCTTAGATGTAGCTTTTTTCCACGTGTAGAAATCACTTCTTTCATTCATTTCACCATTAAAGTGTTTTTGTCGACTTGTATGTAAATAATTTCTATTTCTATCTTTTCTAGAAATAATTTCGAAAAGCCTACACCAATACAGTGTCAAGCTTTGCCCGTTATAATGTCTGGTCGTGATATGATCGGCATCGCCAAAACAGGGAGTGGAAAAACTCTGGCTTTCTTGGTGCCGCTTATGCGTCACTTGGAACATCAGGCCCCACTTAACCCTGGAGATGGTCCGATCGCTCTCCTTCTAGCACCTACTCGGGAGTTGGCGCTACAGATATATAAGGAAGCGAAAAAGCTATGCCAGACCGCTGATGCTCGTGCAGTTTGTGTTTATGGTGGAACTGGCATTAGTGAGCAGATTGCTGAACTTAAACGTGGCGCTGAAATCATTGTTTGTACTCCCGGTCGTATGATTGACATGCTTGCTGCCAACGGAGGTAATCTGTGTTTTCGATGCATATTTGTTTATTAAGTCATACTAACTATATTTGTAAACTCGCTTATTTTACTTATTCAAGCCTGGAAAAGAGGAGAGTTCGAGCGTGGGGCTAGCGACCCTACCCTAAAAAATCAACTTCAGTAGAATACAAAAAAAAACTTATTCTTCCCTGGGATCGGAGAGGCGAAATGATGTGGGCTGGTAAAAGCCTTCCGGAAGCCAGTCAGCCGATATGTCGTCTCCCGATGAAGGCCAATCTGGGAAGGCTGTTCAGATTGCAAACGGAATAAAGAGATAGTATATGAAACTGCTGTGAGTCTGTGAAAGCAGGTGAAATACAAATGGACTCTAGGCTATTTAACTGAAAAGTCAGTAATCTACTCCACTCATCCAGACAACACTCACGAGCAGCACACTGATGGAAACGGCTATCATTTTGTCACCAACACCACAGAAAGCTCTTACGCTGTGGCGACTATTCTCCTCCAGAACAATGACAACAATATGCTATTCAAAACATGGGAAACTTACATTTACCCGTTGCTATGCTCCTACAAACAACACAGATGAAAAGAGGAATGAAGAATTCTACAAACAACTGCAAACTATAATGGACGGGAACCCAACGGAACGACAACTTCAAAATCTTAATGGGTGATTTGAATTCCTGACAAACTTTGAGCCAGCAACACAGGAAGGGAATTTAACGTGTGTAAGGGACCTCTCGGTGAAGTGAATGAAAATGGCGAACTCTTCTAGGAGTTCTGTGTCCTCAATGATTTGGTGATTAGAGTCAAAGTGTACAAGAATGTGCACAAAGCGACATGGGTCTAACCAGATGGACACACCAAAAATCAGACAGACTTAGTACCAATGTCAAGAAAGTGGAGGTGTCGCCTGCTAGACAAAAACTCGAGGAGCAAAACAACGGTTGGCTGAGACCATTATCTAGTACAACGAACCCTCAAGGTTAAGTTGGAAGTCTACAGAGAATCTGGATATTGGCGACAATTCGAGTTTTACGATCAGGAACTGAAGGACGAATCTGTCTGTCTGTTTTCGACATAGAACTTTGCACAAATGTGCGGAAGTTCAAGTCGCCACATTCCGTGTAGCACGCGAAGCAAGAGAAGAAAGTACAAGAAAGCATAATAGAAACAGTGAGCAGAGGTGTGAGACAAAGGAGTAATAAAGAAATACAAAACAGTTTCATTGAAGATCATAAGTCACAGGGAGTGGATGCATCTGCGCCACTGAGAACGGTTTTGAGCCATGTCACCAATTGTTTCCAACCATAGCTTTTTACCGTCCCGAGGACCCCAGCCTGGAAGTCTACACCTTCCTACGTGGCTTAGACCAACTGTTGTGGATTTCATTGACTGATGCCAAGTTTTTGTTTGACCGCCGCTAACGTTTTTCAGCCTGACCCTATATCCGCTAACATTGCTCGTCGAGGGAGGCGATGGCTTGGCATACGTAACACATGTCCTAACCATCTCAGTCTTTGTAGCTTCACGACTTCGTCGATTGATTTCCCCTGTTTACCTAGAACTCTACGCCTAACCTCAATGTTGCTCACCTTATTATGCCACTTTACACGGGAAATAGAGCGCAGGCACCTATGATCAAAGGCAGCTAGTCTTTTCATGTCTTCCACTCTCAGTGGCCAGGTCTCACCACCAGGCATAAAGGAGGACGGAGCGGACTCATGAGCAGTACACCCGCCCTTTGGTCGATAGTCGAACATCTCGTCTACGCCAGAGTCGGCGTAAACTAACAAATGCGAAACGAGCCCCTTGTATTCGTGCTGAGATTTCGTCAGAGATCAGCCCGTTAGGGTTGATGGTACTTCCCAAATAAGTGAAGCGGTCAACGTGCTCTACCACTTCACTTCCTATTTTTAAACTAGGCGTCGATGTAGTCCAGTCCTGTACAAAAGGCACCTCTACTGCAGCCACCTGTGTGAAGTCGGAGACGTTACTTAGCAACACCGCAGAATCTGTGGAGGAGTAGGGACACTGTAACTTTGGAAATGTTGTAGATACCTGTATCGCCAGTCATCTTATGAGGCAAGGGAAGGCAAGAAAAGCGAGAGGTCTCTACAGAAAGATGGAAGCTAACAGAGGAGAAATGGAAGGTGAAAGAGAAGGTGGGCCAGTGCAATAAGGACAGCGAAAGGAGAAGCAAAGTAAACAATGGACATTTGCAGCTGCATCTCATCACGAAGTATGACTGACGGTCACAGAAATACTATCGTACACCAGTCCCACGATGAAAGCTGCAGTCTCGAATGCGATAAGGCTACTGAAAGCCATCCGTGAGGGTAGCAGGACCACATCGGATTCCTCCGGAAGCTCTGAAGATGGATCAAGAGACCTCAGCGGATATATCGGCACGCCACTGTTTCAACACGTTTGGAAACTATTTAATTAGAGTGTCTTAAGCCTTGGCAAATACTTGCGGGGAGTCATACTCATGTTTATAGCAAGCAAAATATTAAGTCACCTCATCCTGGAGAGAATCTAGAAGATGCTCTGGAGGCAAAACTCCTCCTCAAACAAGCGTGATTCAGATAAAGTAGATCATATACTGAGCAGATAACAACGCCACGCATCATCATCAAACTAAGTATAGTATGTCAGTTTAATCTCTACCTCAACTTCATCGACTTTGAAAAGATCTTCAATAGCGTTGTAAACTTCTTCAACCTTGTAGAATGTCGTAACCTTTGCAAATTTAATTCAGCAGCTATATATGGGTATTATATTTCAGGGGATTCACAATCGAATACTCAGCTCGGCGTTTGAAGTAAACACAGGTTTGTGGTGGACTGAATCATGGAACCTATTACTCTTGAAATAACCAAGAGGAAATGCTGGCGGATTAGACTGAGTTCGTTTGGTGTAATTTTGTGCTAGGCCCTGGAGTGCAAGACTATGGCCTGGGCATCCGAGGGTGGCATGGAAAAGACCTTGTGAAGAGAAAGTAATAACGTGTGGGCATTTTTTGAGGAGGCTGAATAAGATTTCAAAGAACAGAGTGGAAAGGTGATGTGCTGCTGATGGCCTCTGTCCCACTCGGACCCCATAGAATATTAATAATATCGGTTCACCAAAGTAGTTGGTTAAGATTCGATTGCGTTTAACTCAATTGATTCTTAGACTTGAATCAATCTGATTACACTAATAATTTCTGCTGCCCAACTATGCAGATGGATATCTGATGCTTAGATCATGTAGATTGTTTTGCTCAAGTACTACTGATCAAAGTGAGTAGTAGACAACTCATCGATTAGAAAGTGGATCATATCGTGTCTATCGTGATTAAGACATTCATTATTAACTTTTCGAACTTGTAGAATATTAACCAAATCGGGCAAACAACGATTTGTTTACGGTTTAAGGGTTAAGGCGAATTTCTCACTCACACCTACACTGAATTAATGCCATTTTTAAGATTCTGCATCATTTTTAGGCATTTTAAATGTGAAATGCTTTTCCATTTAAAATTCTTCAATTCCAGGTAGAGTGACGAATTTACGTCGATGTTCCTATGTTGTGCTGGATGAAGCGGATCGCATGTTTGATTTGGGATTTGAGCCTCAAGTGATGCGGATCATTGAGAATTGTCGTCCTGATCGTCAGACTTTAATGTTTTCAGCTACCTTCCCTAGACAGATGGAGATTCTCGCTCGTAAAGTACTTACACTGCCTATAGAAATACAGGTGGGAGGAAGATCTGTTGTCTGTTCAGACGTTGAGCAGCACGCTGTGAGTTCAATCATTTAATTATCTTTGTGTGGTAGATTATCTTTCTATTCTAATTCTGTTAAAAGCCGTTTTCTTAAGGTTTAACGGGGAACTTTGTTACTATTGTAGTTTTTTTTCCAGTTTTACATTCCAACCTTGAACTTGGAGTGTCATCAGTTTCTGGATATTTGGTGAACTCTTTAAGAATAATATAAATGCGTAGTCATTCCATCACATTCTTGCTCATGATCCTCTTCTAGGTAAAAGTTCGAATAATAGTATTTGCAAAACAGTGAATTTGTTGTGTTCATGGATAATCCCCATCCAGGCATTAATAAAAAAAAAACACGTAGATCAGCGAAGAGTTTCTTTTCGGCGAATTCATTTTCTTAGCTGTACAATCGCAAATATATATGCATTTTTTTGTAGGTATGTGTACATTAAGTTTGTCAAACAAAATTACAATTGGTTAAGGTTACTTTTAACTAAACAGGTGAAGGTTGGTAATACAGGTCAAGAAAATTAAGTGTTAATGAAGCTAGGGTAGTAACAAAGGTGATGAGTTGTCACAAACAGTTGCAATAATAATATGAATAGTTTGATGAGTGAGTTTTACTCAGGATGCACATAGAAACAAAGTAGATAATACGAAACTATGTAAGAGATCTAAGTGAATACAAGAATTATAAGCAATTAAAGAACAGGCAAAGAAACAAAATTAAGTCATCAAAATAAAAATAAAAACTCAAAACAAATGAAAACCTTGTTACCATTAGAGTAAAAGTGGTTGAGTAATCTTCTTTTGTATGCACAGCTCCGGTTTTTCCATGTGAATGGCCAGAGCTTCAGCGATACAAAGGAGACGAAACCATATTGCCTTTGATAGGTTATTCTTGACTCTGTAGATTACTTTGAAGGAGGCGTTTGTTGAAATGCAATGATCAGTGTTAACCAAGTGTCCAATTATCACACTCCTTATTGCACGACTATTACCTTTTCGCAACCATGCTGGATAGTGTTCTTGAATCCTCTTGGACAGGATGCGCGTCGAACGACCGATGTACCTGGCTCCACAGCAGCAGGTGAACTGATATATGCACATAGAAGTGGCCAGATGCGGGATCTTGTCTTTGAGGCTTCTGCAGATCAGTGGGCGACTGGAGAACACTATTCTTAGCGTTGCTGCAAAGAATGTTCTTCTCAGAGACGATGTGATCCTTCTCTTGAGAATATCGCTTGCTAAATCTCCCTTGAAATCCAAGTTCATGTACAGTTTCTTTTTAGGCGCAGTTATTGTTTTGTCGTTGAGACTGATAATAATCTCTCTCATATACTTCATGAATAAATTATTTTACTATTTTGTTTAAAGACTTAAACTGCCGTGTAACCGTGTTTCAATTTGTCCTGTTTTCTGCTGCTCAGATAAAGTAAATTTTTGAGTGCCTCTTCTCACCCCAGCTTTTTTTCACGAAATCTTGCGTGTAATATTGGGGATAGCTTTAATTTTATTCTTTCGGTTTTATGTTTTGAACAGAAAATCATATGCCGTCTTATTTTCAACGATCCGAAAACTTCCAGTTGTATATTACGTTACCTGATATGATTTTATAATGTAATGACACTTTTCTGATTTTCTTTCACACTGTAGTTCATTTTATCAGAAGAAGAAAAAGTGTACAAAGTTCTTGAATTGCTTGGCTTATATCAAGAAGAAGGTAGTGTTTTGATTTTTGTGGAGAAACAAGAAAGTGCAGATGAATTAATGCGCGTATTACTGAAGTATGGATACCCGTGTCTTTCTCTTCATGGTGGCATTGATCAGTATGATCGTGACTCCGTTATAACTGATTTCAAACGTGGTGATATTCGTCTTCTAATAGCTACTTCGGTTGCTGCCCGTGGTCTTGATGTCACTGACTTAGTGTTGGTCATCAATTATGACTGTCCGAATCACTATGAGGACTATGTTCATCGTTGTGGGTGGGTCATTTTGAATATAATTACATTAATTCTAACTTTGCATATAACGATTTATTTTTATTGTGTACATGTGCACTTAATTGTTACACTAAATAGATAGATCAGATACACTGTATAGAATTATTTATTATCCATCTGTTACTATCCTTTTTGCCATATCAGTTTGTTCTTGTTCATAGTTTACCATTATTACGTATTTTTTTCTTCTAGTTATTACCGACTAACCAAAACATGATCATATAATTAATTCCTCTCCACAATAGATACAATTTTATTCCACGATGATATTCAAAAGAATATTTGCGCCCACATTGATTTGTAGACCTTATCTCTACTTGTTTTTTAGACTGGCATTTTACATTTGCTTCACAGAGCACACCTTTCAGCACCCAAACTGTTACAACTATGAGAACTTATCATCGTTTATTATGGTTTTTTGACTGGACACTAGTCAGTAACTAGCGTAAATATGTCTAGTCCTGTCTTCGGTGCAGACTGAATCCTATCAGTCAGCCGTTGAATTGAAAATACGTCCATATCACGTCTGACTGCAGAAGCTGTGAGTGATGCAAAGACTTGAAAACAATCCTAACAAAGATTAAACCTGGAACTCGGATACGCTACGTGGATGACGCATTCGTATTAATCAAAAGAAACGAGTTGGACAGAACTCACAATCTAATAGCGTCCATTATCGATATTTTATTTTTATTTATTTTTTTATTTTTGATTACAGCTTGATTCCACACCGTATTTTTGGTACAAGTGTGGAATTTTCAGCGTGGATATCGGTAGCCCAAAATTCGCAGGCCGACCATAGATATCAGTTATATTAACTGATGACGTTTCGACCACAAATTATTGCCACTCATAATCATATCAAGTTACTCACACAACTTTTTTCCTTCATTTATATACATGCGTGGAATCGATCAATGTGAGATAATGTACATTCAGAAATAATAGTACGAGTGTTATTGATCCATTACAATTATACGGGAAATACGACGAGTATTTTTATGGTCATAATAAGTTACTTGTTAGAATGTTGTGATGTGTTTGAATTGAAATAGAATTTTAAGATTATTTATTATCCTCTTCTGATTCGACCGACTGGCGGTAATAATATCTTCCATATTTCTGGTATTTGCATTGAGTCATTTCTGTTGCATGCGTTTTCGACAACATCAAATTCACAAGAAAAGAAAAATCCGAGGACAAAATCGCAATTTTAGACGTCTTAGTCATGCGAACAACCACAGGAAATTTAGAAATTAAATTTTATAGAAAATCAACGGACACAGATCGAATACTCAAGCACAACAGCCAAAATCCATCGATATAAGAATAGAACTTGTGCACTGTGGTAGAGTATAATTCCAATGTGGGTAAAATTTATTCTGATAAAGTCTCACAATGTTATACAGTAATATGGTTTTGTTAAGTTAATTAGCATGGTAAGCTGGTTAACAAACTAAACTTCTGTTCAGAATGGGTATACGTATATTTGGCGATACTGGATTGTGTGCTTACAATTTTAAGGTGGATCTAGGTAGTTATTTGTATTCAAAACTGCACTGTGAAAATTCATATTTTCCTGACCTATAAACCTTTTGTTCATTTATATATTTGTAGACGTACTGGACGTGCAGGTCGTAAAGGTTTTGCGTACACATTTCTTACTCCTGATCAAGAACGAAATTGTGGTGATGTTGTTCGCGCATTTAAACAAAGTGGCCAGAAGCCTCCTGAAGAGTTAATGAATATGTGGAATGCTTACAAGATTCGGATGGAAAGTGTATGTTTCTGTCTTTCATTTGATATAATATTATTATTATAAGTTCATGTGGGGATTTGTGAAATATTTTTTTAATGACTTTTGCTTGAATTTGCCGAAATCGTTGTTGGTGATTATTTTTACAACAAAATAAAGTACTCACCAAAGCAGTATACTATTCATTATCTCGATTATTAAGATTTGTGAAGTATCGTAGAATCTTGTTCTGGCACACAGATTTTCGACAAGTACTACTTTTTTTTTACTTCTCTGGCATTCATCTCTTCAAAGGGGAAAATGTCAGCCATATTTGTGAGATACATTTCGCTTAGACAACACTTTCATATATCTTGTTATCTCTGAACTATTTTTGTTTGGATTTTGCTGTAGCATGAAAAATAAGCATTACTAAAAAGCTGTTGTCCCTCTGTTATGTTATTAGGAAGGCAAAAAAGTTTACGGTTCTTCGGGATTTCGTGGTAAAGGATTCATGTTTGACGAAGTGGAGGCTCAACTAAATAGTGAAAAGCGTCGCCTTCAAAAAGCTGCACTTGGATTACAAGATTCAGATGATGAAGACGGTGATGGTAATGTTGACTGGGATTCGAAAATTGAAGATATGTTGGCTACGAAAACAAAAATCAAAGATGTATCAAAAAGTAGCACAACAGAAAATATTTCTGATAGTACAGAAGTTAGGTAAGTTAGACTTTTTATACACATTAATCGATAAACTTGTGGCTTATCCACCAACATGTGTTTAGTCTAGGGTCCATTGGATTTCCAAACTAAAAAAAAGCGAGAAAAGGACTTTATTTCATTTTTGAAGATCGATTGTAACATTTATTCATCGTAAAGACACGTCATACAAAGTCAAATGAAATAATTCTGCTCCCTTCATCTTTATCTATCTCTTGTATATAGCCTGAAGTATTGCGCCATTTATGTTCCTTTTATGTCTAGTCTAATGAGTACAAGAGAAATAATCAGCTTAAAAAATAGCGATGCAATCTGCAGAATTAAACACTCGACTCACTGATGCTATAAGCTAATCTCACCTTTGTCGACCAATTATTGCTGTTAGCGCATTCGACAAAGTGATATTAGTGCTTAGTATATGTGTAAAACATGGGCACTGTGGTAGTAAGTAATTCCATATTAGTTTGTTTATTAGACGTATCATTGAAATTTTAGTTTCAAAGTCGTGTGATCAAAATTGATATAATTATGAACAATAATGAATTTTGTTCGAAACGTCATCCAGTAAATAATACTGTTTCACTGTGTGATATATCTAATAAACAAACTAATATGATATTAGTGCTTATTCCATTTTTGTTTGTTGTTTTCAGTTTGGATAATGAGCTGTTCAATAATTTAAAGGTGTTGAAATTGAGTGTAAACGATGATGAAACAATCAGGATGGCTTACACATGGAAATTCTCGTGAAACCAGAAACCTCACTTTTCAGATTCACCTCCTTATCCATTGATGTATTATTTATGCTTTAATTGAAAGTGTAGTGTTTCGAATTGTTAATTTTTATTTTCTTTGCATTTAGTGCTCAAGCTGGTCAGGCTGTCGTGAATGCAGCTTTAGCACTTGCCCGTCAAAAAGCTGCACAGCTAGGACTTGTTAAAAATTTGACTGTTGGTGCTCCAACCACTCTTCAGGCAACAACAGCAACAACTCCGAGTGCCAGCGATCCCACCGTTGTTAATACAGCCGCAATTGCAGCTGCTGCATCTATACCGATACCTCCTGCTCTAGCAAGTCGTACATTGGCTGAACAAGCTGCTGAACGTCTAAATGCAAAACTAGGTTACAACAAACAAGGGCAAGCCTCAGGTGACGAGGAAAACACTGCAAGTAGCGCCGCTGCCGGTAGTGACATAATTAGACGGTAAGATTTTTCCCACGATATCTAAAATATCCAGTTAACACATTTCATAATATTATGAAACATTTGGAAAATTGTTCAAATCATTCATCTTTCCTTTTATACTTCTCAATTTTCGTCATATTTAAGCTGTATTTATGCGAACTACTACTTCCCGTTTGAAAGATTAAAAAAATCCATACTATCTGACAGCATATTGAAGTTCAAATTTATTCAAAGTTTGTCTTATCTTTATCCATTTCGGAACAATGGACTCATCAACCTAAGATGCAATAACAACTTAAAAATCTAAAGCTGTTTTGTTTAGCCTCGTTGACTTTTGTCTGAGATTACTGCTAATTTACACACCCTCGCATTCTTGTGATAATGCGAGCACTCTCAAAATACTGCCCTTGAAAATAAAGAACAGTGGAGTTTTAAAATTGAGAGAAATTGTATGTTCGCCATCTGTTGGGATTTAAATTCTATCCAAGCAGTCTAGATTAATTCAAAAGTGTACTAAAAATTATCTTACATTCTGAGGAACATCGAGTAACTCAAGATAATCTGGAACTTTATTCAATGGTAAAGACATATCTCGGATACGGCTATAGCCTTTCAAGGAAAGCGCCTAGCATTGGCTGAAACTGTTGGATGCATTTAAACCGTGTGTTATATTCATGGAGGAAATTGCACGAATAAGCTCTGCTGTCAACTAACTCGTTCTTGCCTAAACCTTCATTCAAACAATGATTGCCTGAGTCACAAGACATTGTAACTGTATCAATATGAGGAGTAGTAAGCTACATGGATATTTATTTCAGTGACCGGAATTGTAGTCATTTGGTTTTGATTTTTTGGAATTGTAGGTACGAGGAAGAGCTGGTCATTAATGACTTCCCTCAAAATGTCAGATGGCGCATAACAGGCCGTGACATGCTAAATCACCTAAGCGACTACTGTGATGTCGGTGTTTCTGTACGAGGAATATATATGTCACCTGCCAAGGCTAAGCAGCATATACCAGAGGGTTCTGACGACAGACCGCTTTATTTGTGTATCGAGGCTGTAAACGAAAGACAGGTCGCCCTAGCTAAGAAGGAGATTATGCGCATTATCAAAGAAGAATTAGTAAAATTGGTAAGCGTTAAGTTTTTCATGTATTTAATCATTCCTCGATGTTTGATAGCCAATTTATTTGTCTTTGTGTTTGAAATAAAAGTAATTTTATGTATTGCCCATCTCACACCTGTGACACTATTTCAAATGAATTAATTAATTAATATGTATAGTACTTGAAATTATGTGAAAAATAGATCAGTATATTGTGTATATATGTAATTGAAAGGAGGCTTTGTTTAGTTTCTCTGGAATATGAAGGTTTTTTTCGGAACTGTTAGTTGAAAAGTTGAAAAATCTAATATAGTCAGTATTATAAAGTGAAGTGAATAAAGTGAACATCTTGGATTTAATTTCCCCCATTAGTTTTCATACTTGACTTCGTTGATGTATTCAGCGAATCTTAAATAGGGAATTAAAATGTTTATAAACAAGACATTTTAATAATCCGACTTTGAATTACTATCATCAATGATGAGTACCGTTTGCAGGTTAACAAAATTAGAATGTACTTCGTATTCGGTTCGCCTTTGCCGCATACAATGCTGCGTGACACGTTTTCATTGACTCATAGCTTAAGAGTTAGGAAAGTGAAATTTTCTGGTTTTGTTGACTACTTCACTTTTGTGCAAAGTCTATTTAAACGTAATTTAGAACACCTTGAGTTGTAGTGAGTTCATTACAAAATTTAATTTGTTCCATTTTTTCAATTATTCATCAGCTTATTCTAAATTAACCCGAATATTTAATAGTTAGTCAGAAGTCATCAAGATATAAGCCATAATTATTATTATGTTACGACTGATATTACTACTCAATTGTTCAGACTGAAGTGAAGGTCCTCTATTTGAATCCAGGATCACTTAGCTCAAAGTCGAGTGTTTAAGCAAGTGTGTAGCACTTACGGATTAATTGGGTCAACTAATTCAGATATTACGGCGTTAAACTATTAAATATGTTAGATGGCGACTTGTATAGTACGAGCTTTAAGAAGTTTGAGTCTAGAGAGCACTGAGGTTTTACTCAGTTTCGGATAAGTAACGTGCCAAACGTTAGATATGACGATTCTGGTTTAGATGCTATAAGGGAGTATATATTCATATTGCAAATGTTAAGACGTAGAATTATTTAGAAGCATGTTCCTACTTATGTCCGATAACTATATCTCTCTCAATGTTTATGTCCGTTCTTTTTTTTTGTAGCAGTCAGTAAATTCAATTAATCGTGGACGCTACAAAGTTGTTTAATTCAACGTTTACTCATTTTTTCAGTCAGTTGTAAATATTATTTTGATATAAATATAAATACACTACTTCTTGTCGAATAATGGTCTTTCATCTAACAAATACCATATAAAGCTTGTGTTTTCTAGTCTCATAAGGAGTACGGACTGGTTTTCTTTACTATTGTGTGCTACATGGAGTGTGGCAACTTGAACTGCTGCACATCTGTGTAAAGTTCCACGTCACAAATCAGTCAGTCAGCTTACAATGTTATAATAATAAAGGTGTAGGATTTAATGCATCTTTCAGATACTTATAACTGGATACACGAGTCGCGTTTGTTTTATTGGCGACCAGGTTTTCTATGCATATGTACGAATAACATTTTGAAATTTCTGTAGTTATCCGTGTCTGTCTCATGTATACAGGTTATGGTGCGAACTACTACTAAATTATCTAATTGTTTGACAAGATGTCGGTCACTTTCTTCTGCTTTGAGTCGGATAGACGTATTTCTGACTAATACTCTCGTACAATAAATGTGCGAATTCCGATCTAATAACACTCCAGAAGTCTGAAACGTTTCATTATTTCATAGACGGATTTTCCTCAATTAATTTGAAAAAAGGCAATAACAACACAGAGCAGAATAAAATGAATTCATTTCGTCAGCATCTTGTCAGCTGCTTACAACTGGAATAATGAAAAAAACAGTATCAACAAAGTTCTGACATGTTTGTTTATTACAGAAACAAACGCCGAACAATAATTAAGAATGCTTATGGTTATGTATATCAAGTTAAATTAGTCAAGTCTGTTAAGTTGCTGTAATTACATATTAATGCAGTCGAAATTTCAAGAAGGAAGGGTGCAGGGCGTACTCGTCAAGTAGTCAATAGTCCTGACGCGGAAAGAGAGAAATCAGAAGACCACCAGGTTTACGATGATACTTGTATTTTCCAGACAAGGAAAATAAATGTCACACAAGAGTGTGAGTGAAATGGTACTTATGTACGAAACGTGGGAACAAGAATGATAAAGGCAAGAGTATATATGAAAATGGCTAATGCACATGAACCAATAAGATAACGTCTTACCATGATTGGTTGTAATGTCATGTGATAATAAGGTCGTACATTGTTTATTTAGTTAGTGGACAGTCAAAAGCATAATGTCAGTTATAATAGAATGTTGATCCATATACACATAGAAAAATATAACAGACTGTCAAAAACAAACACATATCATGTGGATACATATCAAAGATATTGAGAGGTATAAATTATAAGATTACGTGAGTCTTCGAAAAACGTTAATTTTTTTATACCTTTACGTTCCCAGTGGAACATGGGGGGCTTCAAGGTAGAAACTTGAGGTTTCGGTAGCAGTGATGTTTATTCCTACGAGATGGGGTTGCTAGCCTCATGCTCAACCTCTCCTCTTTACCAGTCTTACTACTGGCTTAGCAATGCAACTGAAAAAACAATGATGCGCAAATAAAGTACTTAAAAAGAATATTGTAGATTCAATTCATATAGGTAGCTATTAGACATATGGAGCCGAGTAAGTTATGTAACTAAGAGAGGAAACAAATCAGTATTTACATTAAGTAAGGGGTATAATTAATAAAGGTGAAAAGCCAAGGTAGACAGTTACTACCGCTTACATTTGAATACACAAGTCGGGTTTCAGCCTTTTGATAGCGTTGGTGCCTGCGAAATACAAGCGACTTCTAATTGCTAAATTTTGTTTCTTGAAGACATTGAAGATGCTTACTTTATGTTCTATGTCAATCAAATATCTTGTGAATGCACCACTGAAAGTTTTATGTATTCATCGCAAACGTGGAATGTGTTCAGGAAGTCTAAGATAGAACTCACCTTCAATTCTCCCGGTGTATCTACTTAGACAAATACACATAAATTCATTATTACTGTCACCTCAGGACTCCTTGCATTCGCCGGTAAAGCCTAGTGGGTATTTCTGAAATTTCTCCGTATTTGCCCCAAAAATCGGACGTTGTTTGATACCACCATCTTCTATAATAATAATAATAATTTTTGCTTTATTCCAAAAACATTAATGATATTGCATCCAATTTACTCAAAACGACAAAAAAATAAACATTACATAATAATAATAATAAAACGTTGCTACAGCAGCTATGTAGCAATTACAGTATGCGATAGGGAGAAAAACATGCATAAAGTATAAAATTGTAGTAATAAGAACTAAAATGAAATAGCGGAGTTATAAATAAACGATAGAAAGGGTGACACCATAAAATTACAGAAAGATGAACGATGAAAGGGTCGTAACACTTTGCTAATTTCATAGTAACTTATATGTTTCACGTCTAACAGTGTCTCCATCACATAAAATACGATTTAAATAGGGTATTGTAGAATTTCTGTACTTAGTGTTGCGAGCATATAACTTCTTATATTGACTTCTCGTCCTGCCTGATCAGATGCAAGGGGATAGTTGTGAATAAAGGGGGTCTTACAGTACGGCCTTGGCCCATTTTGTACAGGATTTTATATGTCTCGACTGTAATATTGGCGAGCTCACGCAATGGCATACCATAAGCCCCACTCACAGCATTTAATACTCTTCGTAATATGATGTAGTCTTTTTTGAGAAGCCCAGGAAAGATTAATGGAGAGCAATAGAGTACAATAGGTAAAATACAGGAGTTTAAAAATTGCAAAACTAAAGGTTGGTTGATACCTGATTGTCTTAACTTTTTAATGTAGAAGGTAAGACGAAACATTTTCTTATAGATAGATAAGATGTTTGATGACCATGAAAGGTCAGAGGAAAGAACTAATTCAAAGTATCTAATGCTTGACTTGGTTTCAGTTTGAGTGCCATCTATGCTACAGGCATCATCGGAACTAACTAGTTCATGTATGTGACGTCGATGCTTGAAAGTAAAGTTAACTGCCTGACATTTGGAAGGATTTAACATAAGACCATTTGACTTAGACCACTTGCTGATGCCCAACAGAAAGTAATTAAGTTTGGAGCATTCAGATTCGGAAATGATAGGCAGTGATACAGTCAGATCATCCGCATATTTAACAAAGTTTGTTTCGTTTGTATGAGGCAGGTCATGTAGGAAGAAAGAAAAAAAGAGAGGACGGCACCTTGAGGAACACCGGCTTTTGTAAGCGAGGCAGAAGAAGATTTGCCATTATATACAGTATACCGCATTCTATTAGAAAAACAAGAATGCAACCAACTCTTAGCCCAGGATCCTGTTTGCGTCAACAAAACTAATGTCAGCTCATGATGAAAATCCTGTTATCAATCAAATCCCTATAAACAAACACTTGAATATCAATGAGATGCTCACTAGCGACTGGCCCCAATGAAAAGTCGTGACCAGTAGGGTGCAGCAGGTCGGGTGTAAGGACAAATACTCGCCGAAGACATTGGCTGGGGTCGCGATATGTCGTGAATTGGCAGAAGTTAGAATTCGTGCGCCATTGGATCGGGTCCCAGAGGCCTAATGGTCTACGAGCTATCTCGCCTGGTAACCAGAAGGTCCTGGGATCGAATTCCTGTGAGTGCGTACTGATAAAGATTCCCAAACTAGGACGAAACAGCTATCCAGTACTCCCAGGTTTTCCAATGGTTCTCTAACTAATGTTAGCTCATGATGAAAATCCTGTAACCAATCAAATCCCTACAAACTAACACTTGAAAAGCTTATTTAATAAAAGGCCTCTAGGTACAGAGTCAAAAGCAGATGTGTAATCTAGGAAAGCACCACGAACAAATTTGTTACCTTTGTATAAAGGCAAAAAGGAAGTTGTTCACAGAAGTTCTCTTAGGATCCGAAAGCTGGATCTGTATGTCCTCAGAACCAAGGGTATTTTAATCATTGCACACAATAGTACACAACCCAAATGACTCGGACGTAGACATATTTCCTTAGGGGCACTATCGTACCCCTAGGGGTATCCCTACCAGAAATTCGCAGCAGAAGAGAGCAGAAAGGGTGCGTTATAATTTCCGTTTGCTTCATCTACTCATCTCGTCTGAACAAAACTGCTCAGGTAGAAGCTGTACATTTCAGAGTCTTACTCGACAGACTGCCACGAATTCCTTAAGCTAATATTACATTGCTTAGTAGTGAGAGTGCTTCATTACATGTATTCACCTGAAGAGCACGGCTGAAACAATGATTATCTGAAGGCAAATCTCGTGTATTTGCAAACCATAGACTTCAAGGAAATGCTCATACTCATTGTGTTGTCAGTCGGATCTGTTCTGTTTAACCCCCTGTATTAAAAGTTTGATCACTCATGCTTTGTGCTTCCCCTTCATTTTACCAATGAGTACGTATAAAATCTTCAAGCAGTTTCACCTCTCGCCAGTCATATGTATTCATAACGAACGGATTCCAAGAGATGTGAAACTTCATAAGAAACTACCAGATGCATTTAGGACACACTAAATGAAAAATAACCTCGCCGAGTTAAAACGCTCTCCAGTTTTTTTAGCCAGTATCAAGTCTGGGTAAAGCGCGAGGGTTGGATAGGTACATTCCTCAATTCACCACAAAAGCTATCGAAATACTACAGAAACTTTAATGCAAAAAATATTAAAAAGAAGATAAAGCATCTTTAGCTATATGGCGAGAATCGTTTCAAATAAAGGCGGAACTGATGAGGATATCAAAGCTAGGGTAGAGAAAGCTAGGCAAGCTTTCATTTCTCTCAAGTCTGTGTGGAAGTCAACAGCACTCAGCGTGAAATATAAGATCCGGATTTTAAACTCCAATGTGAAGTCAGTGCTACTATACGGATCAGAGACTTGACGCGTCACGAAGGGCACTTCGAGCAACTTACAGGCTTCAATCAACATCTGTCTTCGCTCAATAGTCAAGATCAGATGGCCAGAAAAGATCAGCAACAGGGATCTCTGGAAGCGAATCGATTGTGCAGTGAATATACAAGAAGAAATGGAGGTGGATTGGCCATACTCTGAGAAAACTATCAAGTGAAATCACAGGC